TGATGGAAAAATTCGAAAAGCAGCTGGTTTTCAAAGGCAACAGGAAACTTAGTTCCTGTGATAACATTAGAGGAAGTTACGTCGCAATTGCAGACGGACGGTTAAAAATTTAATAAGGGACTCCCGGGTTGCATCTGACCCCGTTTACAATGTATCTGCCATCCTGTCTGTATTTACTTCGACGAACTCTATGCATTGCTAACTAAAGGCGCTTAAATCTTCAGAACAGAATTACCATGGAACGACGTTGTTTCCGAATGTAATTTTCAACAAGTTCGTGCATCGAGACTTCAAGTTTTAGTCGGGATGAAGAACGACCGTTTGAGAGATACAAATATTTATGATTGAAAGGTCTAATCCAATTTAACTTCAACTAACGTTAAAACATATCTCAAGTTCAAGCTAAACACGGACAAATTTCCATATCGACGCTGAGCTAAAAACCTGAACCCACAGAATGTTATTAGCCTTTCACGAGAGCAAGAAGTTGAAACGTAGAAGTTCAGAGAATCAATGTATTATTAATTTGAGAAAAATACAAAATTCTTCAAACGTAGATATAACAGTATTTAATTCAATTAATGTTCCTTTCATCACGCGTAAATATCTTATTAAGAATTTCTAGAAACAGAATATTCGTTAAATCAGTTCTCTTTATGTTATTAAGGATATTTCAAACGTAACCAGAGTTTAGTGTTCGAAATCCCGGTTACATATTGCGAGACCTAGTTAGTTCCAGAAATTGAGCTTAATTCCACGCCCACATTGGCCAGTTATACCGAGAATTAACATGTATGTTTGACATCGAGTAAGCCGGGAATGCTTCGTGCAACATTTGTTGCGTAATCTGTTACACAATGGACCTTGCATCGACGTTTCATACCGTACGTTCGCAATAATAATTAAATTTTTCATCGAGATAAAACCTTCGTTCCTATCTTTCCACGAACCAGAGAACGTTTGTGCAAGAAATATCGGGACAGCTACCCGAAAATTTCGAGATTCTCGAATTTATCGGGATTTGGGAAAAGATTGGGAACGTAGCTTAAATAATTCGTTAAAGCCCACGTTGAAAGGTCGCTGATTTAGAACCATCATTCGAGTTATTCCTTCTGTTATATCATTTGGTTCAACAATCTTTCGCGTATCATTTTGTACAGGCGACAAATTTTATATCGATTCAGTTTCTTTTCTAGTACACATACTAATGTTTGGATGCGTATGCTTGAAATGGCGTAAATAAACCAGTAGTATGTGCATACTTAGTTTTAAATTCATGGTGACAATGCGTGCATTCCGCCTTTGTATCATCTTTTTCTTGAAAGTGTTCCCAAACGGAGCTTCTTCCTTTGCACGATATCTTCTGCACTATTTCCTGCTACTACAACTATATTCTCACTATCACTCGACATTTTTTTTTTAAAGGTTTTTAATATTTATTAAATTCACACAGATTTTGAAATATACGTCTGAGCTTCCCGAATTTCTCAGCGATACTGCTCAACAGTGTACATAATGTCCAAAACGTCACACGTTTGTATACATCAGGTCACACGATTCTTAGAATTCGTGTTTCCAGTAACTTCACTGGCAGAAGAAATTGAACTGTATATTTACATATTTTATAGGCTGCTATACAGCATTGTAGTTCGAGAAACGGTAGCCGGGTTCCCGATATTTTCGGATTCTCGCACACATTCTCCCTAGTTTCTAATGGTGGGGATCCAAACACTTTCGGCGTAAAGTTTTCATGAAAAGAAGCGACTACGTTATTGAAGTTTTTATCCGGGGCTCTTGATCCAGCTGGCTCGAATATGTGCTGCGAAGAAATTTCACCTCGCGTAAAACGAGGAAGAGAGGGAGAACGGTGGCGAAGAAATGGGTTGGTGGATGCAAATCGCATTAAAAAAAAAAAGTGAATGTAAGAAATTTAATCGCGTGCGGCACAGAGATGCATCTTTCAAAGACGCATCTTTCAGTTAAGTTACCGTAAGATAAAAGGAAGAACAATCTTCCTTTGTCTTCTATAACCGGATTTTTCTTTGGTTATAAGAGAAATAAAAAGTTGGGAAAAAATATGGAATGATTCAATTGCAATTTATGGTTTTTTCTTTCTTTTTTTTTTAACAAAATTAGTTCTCCCGTCATTCTGTAGATCTAGATTAACTTTAACTTAATTTCCATTAAACACCTTGTACAATGGCACCTCTAGGTTTTATCTTAATTAAAAAAAGAAACAAATATAATACTTCTCAATTACTATCAAACACCACAACTTGCATCCGACACAATAAAATATCAATGTCTTAGATTTACTAATAAAAATTTCTTTCAGCCCGTCCGTTCGAGCGTGGGATTCTTACAGACGTGACCACATCTTTTTTTCATTTCGCTACGGACTGATCAGAAGAAGAAACCCCGATCGAAACACCGATGGCAGGATGAAAAGATGGATAAGAGCCGATACGGGGCAAAGGCTACGAGGAGCAAGGAGCGTCGGGAAAGGAAAGCGCGGAGGGTTGGTCCGATAAAGCGAGGAGCGACAAAGATAAAGAGAGGGCAAGTGTAGGTGGGCAAGAAAATATAGATTGCTCGAGAACGACGAAGTTAGAGATCAATGGAGCGAGAGAGACACGTATACGCCGGATCGATCCGGAGAACTGTTCCGTGGATATCGTGTTTCCCCCCTCTTTCTCTCTCTCTCTCTCTCTGACTGATGGGTTTGGTCAAGAAGATAAGAGAGGAACACTACCGTCCGCAATTATTTCGACAGTTTCGAATTAATTTAAATATATCAAATACTTTTCGCACGAACCTTTTCAATTTAATTTTTACGCTTGGGTTTATCTCAAGTTATTAGATATTAATAAAAATAATAGTTACTGAAGGTGGATGAGAATTGACCTAGAGACATCTGAATTACGTGTGTTTTAAATGTATTTGTTCAGTGTTGAAGAATTATGGAAACTCGCTGTGGAACGTAAACGTGGAACTTCAAGAGATGTAGATTTAACAAAGACACACTAAAATATATAGAATTAATAGCAACGTTTCTCCATCGTAATGCCAAGAATATAACAGAAATATTAAACTTTGATTAAAATTGTATCAGATACCGGGACATTTATTCGCAATAACGTGTGCAATAGATTCGATAGAAAATTCCGATCTGTGCTTGAATTAGAATACTATGGCGGATGGTGTGCAAGGGATGACGGAGATCACCGATTAGGAACGCCATTTATCTCGTCATTTCCTTTGGAAAGTGGCATCAATTTCGCGGACAATCGGCCGTGATCGTGCCACCGGATAGTGAATGTCAGAGTTCACGTAGTAAATTTGCCGATCAACCAAACACCGAACGACTGAATGGGCAAGAGCACTCTCGCGCTCGATCTCGGAACGAGCGTTTCCGGTTGACGAGCGACGCGCTAGATAACAAGGTTTTATTCGTCATGCTCGAAAACGAGGTGAAATAGGAGTGAAAATTGATCTAGTAGAATTGTCACGTTGCTATGTGAACGATACTTTACATACATCAATTCAATAAATTATATTGTTAAGAAACGATACTGTTTGATAAAAAAAAAAAAAAAAGAAAATGAAACTGTTGTATTACATGTCGTATTTAAAATAAAAAATTGAAAGCGTAATCACCTATCAATAAACGAAAGAATTTGTAGAGCGTCTATTTGCGAAATAAGAATCATTAATTAAAATAAGATAGGTTATCAATAAAAATTGTTTTTAAGGTTAGCTATTACTAAGATTAATCATCGTAAGCTCGGGATTTGCAAATGTTTATTACGTGACGTCATTTCATGGTTTGCCAGTAGAATGAAGTAACGAACGTTATAAACGAACTTACAAACTACGTTATTTAGGAAATACAGTGATTTTCCGTGACACTGTATATAGTCGCTATGAAAGCGGGCTGTTTCAGCTCGCTCGATCTAACAATATGCCTTAAGTGCGATAACAATGAATCGTAACAATCTCGCTTGATTCAAACGCAGATCGACGTGTCATTTCAGTCCAAAAATCGACGACAAATCGAAACAATTTGTATAATTGGATTTTTACACAAATTATTTACATGGTATTATATGAGACTCACGTATTCATAATTCACGTCGGTCCTCCCAGTGATGAATTTGGCGTAGTTACATCGAATCCCACACTCTGTCTCTTTACTTCGTAATTTCTTAACGCAATAATCACTAATAATTAAATAATTGTGACGATGTCATCACATACAATAATAATTTCTCGCGATATTAATTTTCACACTGTGCCAAGGTCCGTTGTTTGAATCACTTTGAATTATTTCAAACGTTGAACCAATTGCGCGTCTAGTTTCAGCGATTCTATTATCTGATTGGCTCGCAGCCATTACGGCAACCAATGGACCAATCAGCGTGTGTCTTCTGTCAGCCATGTTGCTTGACGTACTTCTACACAACTAGTGTAGTTCGAACTTTCGCCGCGTTACGTGCAAATTTTCGCGCCGCGTAAAATTAAGAAATTAGTGAAAATTTTTGCCCGTAATCCGTTACTCTCATGCTCAGTGTTCGTATTTAATACTCTTAGTGATTCTGTGTTAGCAATAAACGGTTGTATCTTTTCAAATATTTGTCAAACTTTCATAAAGCGAATGTTCAGTGGTGATCATGGCGCGTCTTTCATATGCACGCTTCGATTTCAAAATTTTCCCTCCGCTTAGAGCTAATTGAATGTTGAAATATATAAATGTAAGAAAAGAAAACACGCGCATAAATTCGGCTATATCGAGGTTTCGTTCGTATAAATCATGAATTTCGTGAATTTCGTGTATTTATATAAATTTACACGCGGAAATATTTTAACGATTCGCGTGCGCGCGCATGTGTAAAATTCAAAACTAGTGTTGAGCAACAAATTGAGGAACGTGCTTTGGGACTTTACACAAGGATTATGATCGCAGGCGACAGGAAAGGTGTAAAAAAAATGACGGACGCATCCAAGGTAAGACTTACTGTTCGATTATCATTTCTATTATAATAATTTTGGAAAATTTTTTTTTCATTCGACGATGACGAACATCAAAGTTCGCAGAATAACGTCTTAAATGCTAAGATCAATATCACGGTATGAACAGACATGTTTCTCCGTCGATATACTCTAATATTCTCTTTCCATTTTCCTTTTTCTTTTCTTTTTCCTTTTTTTTTTTTTTACAAGCGATTCGTATACAAGACGAATGGATCTAAGAAATTGTCGACGTGTTTCTCGATTGTATTACTACTATTTACAAAAATGACCCGGTTAAGAGGGTAAAACGTGTCTTAGGAGAAGGAACAATGCGATTAAAGATTTCATTAGAATACTCTGATGAACACAGGAATACTCGATTCCACATTTTACATTCTTACACGTTAATTGCGTTTAATAAATGCGACGAGAATGTTTCAGAGTCTTGTGCTCTATACACATAATTTTTTTTCTTTTTCCATACGTACACAAGAGCTCTAATTCCTTTACTTTTTTTTCTTGTCTCTCTCTTTAAGGAAAAACCTAATAATTGGCTCAAACTTGCAACTCGTTATTGCTTGATATTCTAATGTACCCTACCGCCTAAATGCTGTATATTTCTGTAAAAATCCTAGGATCTAGGGATAATATATCAATCCTAGGCTGTAACGAATCTTTTTTTTTTTTTTTTTGGAAAGAAAACTGCCTCGTTACTTTAATCTGTACAATTTTCTCAATATTTATAATAAAACTGATCAGAAATCGAGATATCTTTTTGAATCTTCAAATGCACATAATTAACACTAGAACAACCAAATTTCCAAACATCAATATGACAGATTATAGATTTTCTTTCTTTACAACTGCTTAAAAGATACAGTCAAAAGTAATATTGATTTCTGTTTAGACAGAAACACAATTGTAGACAGAAACAGATTTATTTATATTAATTATAATGATTTAAATAAATTATTCTACATAAATTATAATGATTCATATGTAGAATATTTCGACGCATACTAAAAACTGGTTGTTCTACTGTTAAACGCTAAATTTTCTCGTCGGGATTAAAACCGCGTTTTGTCTCGAAAGAGGTCGTTCGACTTGTAAAAAAACCGTCGTCCGTATCTCGCGACGAATAGAACAATGTCTTCTGTTTCTCATTCAATACTAAACACACTGTTTATATAACGGCGCAGGTGTAATGTAGATTTGTCGCGTTTGAACGGTCGATTGGAGATTTAGACACGTATCGTTTTTTTTTTTTTTGTTGTGTTTTGTTTTCTTTCTGTTTTCGTTCATTTTCACTAGCAGTGATCCGGAGTTAGATTAACGACTCAGTGCCTGACATCAGCTTCGTCGGCTGTTTGATTCTCGAGGGTGCACGGCCTTAGAAATTCTTGTCCTCTTTCGTGAAGCCACTTGTTTGCCACTAGAAATATTGCACCGCATGTTACATGTATCTTTGGGAATTTATTTATCGGTATAATTTATGGTCTTTGCTATATTTGGCTAATGATTAGGGTTGATGGTTGGCATACCCCATTTGGAACCGGTTAGAACAGGACAAGCCGCGTGTCTGGTTTTGAAATCTCCCTCGCCGTTTGGTTTGAGATTATACCAGAAGGCAGCGCTGCCTTTCTTCGGCCATAGTGAAATGTTGATTGCTGTGAAAACTGTGCCACCACCTTGTTCCACGTCGCTCATCTGAAATAGTTAACAGCTGATAATATTACTAAATAATTATCAGCAATATAAATGGTATATTGTTACATGTAGCATTGCTATATAATATTAATACTTATATATTAGCAATATAAATATTAATACTTATATATAGCAATATAAATGGTGTATTATTAATACTTATATATAGCAATATAAATGGTATATTATTACTATTAGCATTGCTATATAATATTATAATACTTATATATTACTTTTATATATAATACATATTTATAATATATAATATCGCTATATAATATTACTTTATTACATTTAAAATACAGTGTAGTATAAAAAACATAGATACATACATAATATAAAACTGTGGCAATGCGATTTCCTGTTCCTAGGCTTTTGAACGCGTTTGTTTCCTCTTTCTAGATACAGGGCAATCAGACGTATTAATCATTTGATTTGACGAATGAATTAAATTACCTCAAAATTCCGACCCACCCGCGCGAAATCAAAATGTGGCTCGTAATGGCCACCGATGCCATAATTAACTACTTGTAATTCTTCGGCCGTATCGACAGTCATACTGGTCATGTGCTCGACACGCCTGCTCACAGCCGCCACGTGTTTATGCTCGTGTTCCTGAAGCCACGCGCTCTTACTAATCCTATAATTCGCTATCTCTAAGGCACCAGTTTTGTAGTTCTGCACCGTGGCACGTTTGAACTGTAATATTAAAAAGGAAGAAAAAAAAAAAAGAGAATAAGAATTAATCGATACTGATGTTACTATTTTACATAGAAATATAACAAAATTTATCGGAACTGCACGTTACTCTAGGCTGTGCCATTCTTTTAATCGTCTCGATCTCCTCGTCGTATATCACGTTGTGATAAACGACTATTCGTGGGTCCAGATAGGCCTCCTCTTCCTTGAATGGCGCAATTTTTAGAAATGGAATTCCACGATCGACGTAACGGCACTTGAGGTTCTTCTGCACTTCCGGGGGAATCGATACCTCTCCACGGCACAGCATTTCGTACCGTTCCCTCTCCGTCATTTCCTCCCAGGTTTTCACTTTCTCTTCCGCGACAGTGAAATGCTGGAAAATAAGGACGAACAACATTGAATCGCTAAAATCAAGTTTGTTATTGGCGCATAATTTGAGATGGAACAGCTTGACTTGAAATTCGTTACGGAGCAAATAATTCCGTTATTATTCTCATTATGATTTCTCGTTATCTTACTTGAGCAGGTACAGCGGTGTCGTCTTGGCCGTCCTCGCCGCGTTTCTTTTTCGACTGGCTAGCTTTGCTCTGGATTTCCTTTTGATAGTAAGCTCGATTGCCCAGGGCACGTTCGTGGGTCGGTACCAGCTCCAGAAGCTCGTTCGTCATACTTAAAGCTCGCGCCACATTCCCTACGGACAGTGAATTTGTAGCAGTAATGACAACTCATAAATATAACAATAAATATTACAGATGCTTATTACAGATGCACGTTACAGACATTGTATGATAAATTGTAGTTTTCCGATAAATTATACTAAAAATTAGTGGTACAAATGGGGTCAGAACGAAAATCAAGAATTAACGAAGTTGTGTGGGGAAAAAGTTCTCGTTTTCCCCCCCCAAAAAACGTACTTGAAAATTAGTTGAGCTCGCGGTTTAGCTAATAACAAATTTAAAATTACGAATTTTATAGCAGATCACTGTTGTGACTGTTTCTACAAAAAATGAAATATCAGAATGCTCAGTTTACTATCAATAGAAAATTCTTAATTGTTCTTAACTGTTTTATTTAAATTTCGAACTATTCTACTACACTCGTTTTCTCTCGTTTATAAAATAAACACACAACCAAGAAAAAAGAAAAGGAATCTACGTTACGACCCGATAGAGCAACGAACAAGAAAAAGACGTAAAAGTTTTTGATGAGGTTGAAAACACGAGAAAGACTATTACGCGATGAAGTACCCGTACATACGTAAAAGCACAGATTAAAATTGAGCGTTTTTACTCTCAACGTCAGGTTACAGCTGTTACGGTCTATCCTGCTCAAAGATCATCTACCAGAGCCAATTGAGCGTTAAATTCTTCCGTAAAGTCGGCGTCAGGTCCCACATAATTTAACGAACCGTCGTTACCCGGTTTAATTCGGCGATTTCACGGTAGAAAGGTTTAACGCCCGGGAAATTTCAAATACCCACGGCATAATACATCCGGGCGAAGTTTTAACGAAGCTTTAAACAAACTAGCCGGCTGGAAGTTGGCCATTCGGGCGACGGGGAATTTTAACGTCAATTAAATTCTCTTTCCGGCTTCTTTCAAATGCCTTTTCGCCGCGGCCGCTGTTTGACATTGATTTCACGGGCATTAAACCCGCCCTCCGGCGAACTTGGAACGAAAACGAGCACGCTTATTGACACGAGAGCTTACTGCCCCTCTTCGTTCGCTCGTTACCGATCTCTCCCCCTCCCCATATTTCGTGATAATTCTACGATTCGTTTAACTCCATCCCGGCGAATTTTCCACCTTCGGCCAACGAACATTCAATTCTTGTTTATTCGATGACTATGTAAATCTCACGATTTTTGATCAAATATATTATTTTTTCACGGATACTTTAATCTCAGTCGTGCGAGATCAAAATTCTTCGGTTTCCACAAGGGCGTGACACGAAATCAAAGTACATAAGTTGTAAAGTACTCTACACGAGAAGTAGAGAACGAGAGATTAATATCGAATTACCGTAGTTGCAACAAACTACTTCGCGAAAGATGAATAAATTTGAACGAGTGGTAAAGTAAGTAAAAAAAATTAAAAAGAAATTATGATAGACAGAGAATGAATAGGTTTAATCTCCTTTCGTCGTTACTAATTAACTATGCTGCGCTTTTCATTTGTCGAGTTTAGAGATCGAGACGCGATTCGAGGCAAGTTGCGCAAAATTACAGGAACAAAACGGGCGAGCGGTTCGCGAAGTTTCTAACTGGCGGAATAACGTGGCGGATACACGTGTAATTTAGTTCCTAATTTACGACGCGCGACATTTATGAGCTCGCAACAATTTTTCTCCCGGTTCCCTGCTCGCAAATCTTTCGTCACGCCCCGGCTGAAAACTGCGTGCGACTGTTAAGGTTAAACGGCCACGCTTATTCCTCAAATTTTCGTTTTCCCCCTTCGTTACGTCATAGTTTTTATTACTGAGATTAAATGAGTTAAAGTTTAACGAAATTTCTCTGGTATTCATTTCTTTTTTTTTTTTTTTTTCTTTGCTGAAGTTTAACAGCAAGAGAATCAGAGTAGCTGAAATGACCAAATTTCCAGAATTTTTTTTCTGAGAAAATTTACAATGAATATTTTTTAATCATTCTTCTTGGAGAAATATACGTATTTAGATCTATTTATTTCTCAATGAAATTTCTACGTGTAAATCTTTACAAACCAACTTTTGTATTTTTTTTTACTCATTTAAAATTTGTCATTTATGGTTTTTTTTTTGCTAAAGTTTAACATCAAGATGTTAGATGTTTTACTCATTTAAAATTTGTCATTTTGCTTTTTTTTTTTGCTAAAGTTTAACATCAAGAGAATCAGAGTAGTCGAAATGACCAAATTTCCAGAATTTTTTTTCTGAGAAAATTTACAATGAATATTTTTTAATCATTCTTCTTGGAGAAATATACGTATTTAGATCTATTTATTTCTCAATGAAATTTCTACGTGTAAATCTTTACAAACCAGCTTTTGTATTTTTTTTTTACTCATTTAGAATTTGTCATTTATAGTACATTTGCTTTTTTTTTTTGCTAAAGTTTAATATCAAGAGAATCAGAGTAGTCGAAATGACCAAATTTCCAGAATTTTTTTCTGAGAAAATTTACAATGAATATTTTTTAATCATTCTTTTTGGAGAAATATACGTATTTAGATCTATTTATTTCTCAATGAAATTTTTACGTGTAAATCTTTACAAACCAGCTTTTGTATTTTTTTTTTACTCATTTAGAATTTGTCATTTATGGTACATTTGCTTTTTTTTTTTTTGCTGAAGTTTAACAGCAAGAGAATCAGAGTAGCTGAAATGACCAAATTTCCAGAATTTTTTTTCTGAGAAAATTTACAATGAATATTTTTTAATCATTCTTCTTGGAGAAATATACGTATTTAGATCTATTTATTTCTCAATGAAATTTCTACGTGTAAATCTTTACAAACCAGCTTTTGTATTTTTTTTTACTCATTTAAAATTTGTCATTTATGGTACATTTGCTTTTTTTTTTGCTAAAGTTTAACATCAAGAGAATCAGAGTAGTCGAAATGACCAAATTTCCAGAATTTTTTTTTTGAGAAAATTTACAATGAATATTTTTTAATCATTCTTTTTGGAGAAATATACGTATTTAGATCTATTTATTTCTCAATGAAATTTCTATGTGTAAATCTTTAAAAACCAGCTTTTGTATTTTTTTTTTACTCATTTAGAATTTGTCATTTATAGTACATTTGCTTTTTTTTTTGCTAAAGTTTAACATCAAGAAAATCAGAGTAGTCGAAATGACCAAATTTCCAGATTTTTTTTTCTGAGAAAATTTACAATGAATATTTTTTAATCATTCTTCTTGGAGAAATATACGTATTTAGATCTATTTATTTCTCAATGAAATTTCTACGTGTAAACCTTTACAAACCAGCTTTTGTATTTTTTTTTTTTTTACTCATTTAGAATTTATCATTTATCTTTTTCATTGTGCACTTTTTTTTATGTTTTAATGCTGGATTGATTTATTTCTTTGGTACAAGTTGTTCAGTTTAGTTGTCGGTAAGTCTAGTGTTGATCAGGGATGGTAATGAAACGGTTTTCGTGATGGTGTATACCTTGCATGTAAGTTGAGAACGCCAAATATTCTAATATGTCTGGCTTCGAGGTAGTGGTGGCGTTTTGTTCCTCCTGAAGACGATCCATGGCTTCTTGCATCCAAAGGACGGTGTGATAGTAATCACGATTGTGATAAGATTGTCTGCCAAGTTCGAAACAATCGCTGGCTGCAAGAAGGAGAACGGATTAGAATTAATTAAATAATTAATTTGTATTTTTCTTCGATCCTCAGATCTTCTCTTCTGAAAACTCTTTCAGGCGATTAAAAAATTACCGCCAAAGAAATAGACAAATCTCTGCTAGTCTACGAAACAGTATGGAAATACTTTTCTTCGATACGATAAAAGATAAAAGAGGAGAAACAAAACTTTTCACAGTTTTTTCTGTGAAAAACTTTCGCCACTTCATAGCAATGACCTGCTGATAAAAAAAAACACACAAATTCTGTTCTGTTAAAAGAATTTGAACAAAAAGTATAAAATATTTTGTGAAAACGTTGGCCGGTTTCGATCAATTAATTACAAACTTTGACTCAGAATGAAATTCACATTGCACCTGCGTCGAATTTCCACCGATTTCCATTTTGTACATTTGATGCAAGGTTTGTTTTTTTTTTTTTTTTTTTTTCTAATAAAGCCTCCATTTCACACGATATTTCAATTCAGTTCACCGTTTATTTCGCTGGCCGTTCAAAGTTCACACGAAAAAACCATTTGTCGGCGTACAATCAAGAACGCTTGCGTCCGTCAACATTTCTCGTCGCAGAAAAACTCACGAGTGCCCGATGAGAATTTCCAAGTGGCATTATTCCGAAAAAAGAACCGGAGAAAAGCTACAACAACGCGATGAACGGAAGGGAAGGAAATTTATTCCCACGATTTCGACTTATTTCTGCCGCGGGCCCGGAGTCATTCCGTTTCTTGATTGTCTCGGAGACCCCGAGCCCAGCCTTGTATAATTCATGACTCTATTATCATAATTACATTCGTAATAACAACGCGCGATCGCTACGAAAAAATCTGAAAGTTAAAGCTGGAGAAGGAACGGGGAAAAAGAAGGAAAAAGTAGAAGACGAATCTTCCGTTCGCCTCTGACATTTTTCGAATCGAACGTTCCAACAAACTTTCTTCATTCCTAACAGGCGTCAAACTTCGACCTCTGGCTCTCTCTCTCTCTCTCTCTCTCTCTCTCTCTCTCTCTCTCTGTTCCTCTCTTGTTCCTTCGCCATCGTCTCCGTGAAAAACTTGCTTCGTTAATTATTTTCTCCAGAGGCCGGCGCAGATTGCAAAGTCTCTCGCGGTTATATCGAGGGGAAATTGCTGCGGATCGGTAAATAAGAGACTGTTTACCCGCGACGAGAAGAAAAGGCAGAGGGAAAGTTCGCGAAGCTTTTACGCGGCTCGAAATGGCGAAAAGCGGTCCGACCTTCTGTTATTTTCTTCTTTCCTCCGGGATCGTTTCGCGCGACGGCGAAGATTACTCGTTTTATAATTCAATCAGAAGCAAGAAACGATCTCGCGTCGTTTTCACAGTATCCGCGGCTTTTCGTCGTGCAACACGGATCAAATTCATCTCTAATTTCGTTTAATCCACGCGCCACGGTTAATCGAATCGGATGTAAATTAGCTGCGGAAAGGCGACGGTTCAATCCACGACACCTGAATTCGATTTAACAACGTTGCGACAACACCGCCAAAGTGTTTCGTAATTTTCGTTAGATTCCTCCCGGTTTCGTGACGCGGCTTTTCAGCCCTCCTTCCTCTCGGTTAACGAATATTTCTCCGTGTCTCTCCTGCGACGTTCATCTTCGCTCACGGCTTTCGCGTATGCGTAATACGTGACACTGAACGCCAGAATTTGTAACGTCAATATTGACGCACGACGACGGCGCTGATGCCGTCTTTAAACACAACTTTTCACTCGCGACCTTTTCGCTGGTTCTCCAACACTTACGTATACAGATTCGGTTCTTTCGATTTCTCAGCAGAGAATTGAAACGATTTCCTCTCGAGCTTAAGAAACTGTTCGACAGCGAAGAGCCAACGAAGGTATATTAACTCTTCGCGCGATCGATATCGTACCTTAACAAGGTATTACCTAACTCAAAGGGTTAAGTTTGCTGTTTGCGAGTTGCAAGTTTACAGGTTTACAAATTCGTGTTTACGTTCCCTTGCTTGAAATTCTTTACGAGGAGGGGGATTACATTTGCTGGAAAGGAAGGAGATTCTTAATTCTTCCAGCCAAAGACATTTTCTTTCCGCACGAGGCAATTTTCGTTTCCTCCCCGAGTCCTCTTCGCTCGAGTCATCTCCACCCCCTCTTAAAAAAAAAAAAAAAAAAAACAGCGGGAACCTCGCCGACGAAGGAAGCTAAAAGGGAAAAGAAAAGAAAAAAGAAAAAAAAAATAGAAGACCGAATCTAAGGGGAGTAGATCATTCCCCATTAGCCATTCAATATTCATCGAACTCTCCGACGGTGGCCTTTAAATGATGCAGGGAAACGCTCTCGGTGGCTCGTATCGGCGAAAAAAATCACTTTCTTGTTGCGCTAAAAAGCAGTATCTTCGGTCAGAAGAGAGGGTGAAGGGAAAAGTGAAAAGAGAAAATGGCGACGACAACCGGAAGCTGCGAATTATCGGGACGAAATCGTGAGAGGCGGTGAAAAGAAGAAAAAGAAGAAAAAGACACCAACGACGCTGATGAAAGAAATCGCGTAAATTATTCATGTCGAGGATCGTTAAGTACAGGTAACATCGGCAGCCAATATTCTCGCCGATTCGCAACGCTTTACCCTCGTCTTGTACGAGTCTGAATAAATAATTCACGGCGCAAAGAAGGGGCCGTGTCTTTCTCCCGAGTCGCGTTTTTCTTCTTTCGCTTCGTACCCATTTCGCCCGACCGTCTAGTCGGCCTAATGCGATAACGAGCCGTGGATGCCTCGTAATGAATCATTTATCCCGTAATGCCGAATCTTTCGTGCGTTTTACTGTCGGAAGTGAGGTGGACTGTTTTCTATCGCGGTGGAGATTCCTTTTGATCTGCTTGAGGCAAAGATATAAAACTGATCGTTAATTTCTGTTCAATCCTTTAAGGATATCGGCTAGAAATTCTTCAGTATCTTCGAATTTGTTTGCTATCGAAATTTCTTTTCGTTGAAGAATTGGTTGAGGTAAATTAAGATCGGAAGAAAATTGCAAATGAAATGTTGCAACGTTGGTTTCGAACGGGTTCATTGAAATGATAAATAATTTTCAACGAAGCGATTCTCCTCTGTATTTTTCTTCGTATCGACGAGATGCAGATATGTTTGAAAATTTAATTAAAATTGTTCTTAAATATTTTTTTTAGGAATATCGTAATTTCTAGTGACACAGTGACATCAATTCAAACAAATTACACTTATTTTACGTGAGTTTCAAAAGTAAAATATCACCAAAATAACCTTCTATAGCTACACTGATGAAAAATACAGCGAAAATAATGAAACAGAACAGAATAAAAAAATAGAAACGTCACGTTGATGCAACGTTGTGCAAACATCTTTGGAAATTTAATTAAAATTGTTTTTAGATATATTTTTGGGAATATCGTAATTTCTAGTGACACAGTGACATCAATTCAAACAAACTACACCTATTTTACGTGAGTTTTAAAAGTAAAATATCACCAAAATAACCTTCTATAGCTACACTGATGCAAAATAGAACTGAAATAATGAAACAGAATAGAATAAAAAAATAGAAATGTCACGTTGATGCAACGTTGTGCAAACATCTTTGGAAATTTAATTAAAATTGTTTTTAGATATATTTTTGGGAATATCGTAATTTCTAGTGACACAGTGACATCAATTCAAACAAACTACACCTATTTTACGTGAGTTTTAAAAGTAAAATATCATCAAAATAACCTTTTATAGCTAAAATGATGAAAAATAGAACCGAAATAATGAAACAGAATAGAATAAAAAAATAGAAACGTCACGTTGACGCAGCGTTGTGCAAACAAGTGTAATTGAAATCTTGGATATATTATTTCCGGAAATATATCGTAATTTGTAACACCAGTGACATCGATTCAGAAATAAATCAGACGTATCTCACGCGAGTTCTGAAATGTTCCTATCTGCACGCTCAGCCCACTGTACGTTCATCTCTGGATAAACGACCAGAGGTTTCCCCTCCCGCGATATCTCAGAAAAGATTCTCTTTCCTTCGAAAATACCGAATGCCTCAAGTTTGACGTTATCGGCGCCCCGAAGAAGTTTTCGCCTCGATGCTTCGTTTCTCAATCTTTTCCTTTCTTTCTTTTTTTCTTTTTTTCCCTTTCTGCTTTTCTCTTATTATCGCCCGCCGGTTCTCCGCCCGCGAAACCGTACGTTATTGTTCGAGAGATCCATTCGCGGCGCGAAACTCTCAGTGCTTTTCTCAGCATTTGCGTCCGCCAAGCGACGGGAGGAAGAAGATCGGTCGAAGTTCGCTTCGCTTTCGCGCGCGTGTTCCACGAAAGATGGGAAAAGTTTTTTGAAAAATCGGTTGCTTACAGGGGCGATTCGAAATAAACGAGGGAACCATTTAGCCGGAATCTTCGTTCTTCGCGAACGCAAAGTGGCAATAAAAGCGCCGCCGTCGTCGTTAGGTTCGGCTCGTTCCAAAACCTAAGTTCTTCGATGTGAAAAAGGAAGAAAAAAAGAAAGAAGTCGGAAGTTATTCATTAACCTCTTGCGCTGGAATGACATGCCACGCATGTCGAGAATTTCTTGTCCCAAAGTTGCAATATTTTCTCAGTTTCAAGTAAAAATATTTAAGTGAAACAAATAATGAATCTGTTACTTCTGAATAATTTCTATCCAGTGATATCATACCGAGTTTAAAAAAGAATGTGACGAATTATTGTATACGGATTTGGTCACTCATTATGGTCCGCAGTTGCCAGCGGTTAACCTCTTGCGCTGGAATGACGTGCCACGCACGTCGAGAATTTCTTGTCCCAAACTATGGCAATATTTTCACAGTTTTAAGTAAAAATATTTAAGTGAAACAAAATAGACAAAACAAATATTGAATCTGTTACTTCTCAATAATTTCTATACAGTGATATCATACCGAGTTTAAGAAGAAAGCGACGAATTATTGTATAAGAGTTTGGTCACTCGTTATGGTCCGCAATCAGTTGCCAGCGCAAGTGGTTAAAGTCTCGTCTCTCGCGAACAAAACCACGCCGGTGAAATTAGGGCCCCGTGATTATGTTTACCTTCGCTCCTCGTCTTGAGAAAAAGCCGGAAAGCCGAGTTTCACCGACGTTGTAGGTTACAAGCAGGAACGCAAAAACACAGAAATATACGCGTGACTTCATCCCTTATATCGCGAGGAAAAGTGTCACTTTTCACAATCAATTCTCTCGCAGAGATTTAAATTAAAAATCAAATCTCTTGAAGTTAAATCGGTGGAGAGAGGAAATGCAATGTCGATGCAAATTCAGGAAACGGGAAAGATGCGTGAAAACTCTCTGAAACGAGAGCAAAGCTTTTATAAATTTTCACCAAGGAATCTCCTCGTCGATCAAACGAGCAAAAAAAAAAAGAAAAAAAAGGAAAACAGAATTGTCAAATTCTCGTGTCAAAGGTAATCCGAGCGAAAAGTACTCCGTCGATGAAGCTCCAGATTATACAAAAACAAAAAAAAAAAAAAGAGAAAGAAAAAAAGCACGTCGTCGCGAGGGAAAGCCAGAAAGAGTAAATTTTCATCAAGAGGTGGGATGAAAATAAACGGACGAAGGGGTGGAAAGGGTGGGTGGGTAAGAAGAAAAAAAGGTGGTACGAACCGCTTAATCCGGTGCTATACTGAACACCGTTCAACACGCCTCTGGCGACCTGTGCAGTCTCGAGTTTGTACGTGTCCTGCAGCCTCATCAAAGCGACAGCCGCGCCGTTAAGGTCCTCGTCAGTTGGGAATTTCAGGTCGCTCCTGGAATTGGTGATATTCGCGACGAACGACTTGCCCACGTCCTGGGTGATCAGCTCCTCGACCCGTTTCCAATCGGTGGTCAACCTTTTCACCAACAGATAAGCGTTGATCGGATTCGACAGGTACTGCTGTATGTTCCTCGAGGCCTCCTCGTGCTCCCTCGCGTAATCTTCCACGTTTCTGCAACAACGAACGAATACGAAATTGATTTTTCATTGGTTGCCGGTACGCGACGTATTTTCTTTTTTTTTTTTTTTTTTCCGAAGGAAAGTCCCGAGCGGGACGCGCCGAGAAAGGACGAGGGGGAAAGTCCCGGAGCGCGAATAAATTCCCGATTGCTGGAAGTTTCCGCGAGTCTCTCTCGTAATAATATAAGGCATCGTAACGAGTTCCTTCTAATCTTGCAGAGTTTCTTCGATTTAGTTAGGGATCCCGGGGTTTGTTCCTTTGCTTCGTCTTCTTTTTTTTTTTTTTTTTTTTTTTTTCACTTAAATCAGTACCGTATGGTCGATTTTTTTTTTTTGGAAAGACAGTATTGGTAGATTCGCGTGAAGATTGACTCGATTCTGCGGACGTTACTCCGCGTGTATACAGATTCTCTGAGAGTTATATAAATAACAGAGAAACAAATGTTACCATTTTAGAAAATTGGAGTAGAAGGCTTTTCACGAGGCAAGGAATTTTGAAAAATATAGGAGAATCGTCTAGAAAAATCACCTACACATGTGCATATGAAATGAGCTAATATGTTTCAACGTTATATTCTCTTAAATTTCGAGAGATGATTTTTGCGATTTTTGTAAGGCTCTAAATAACGGGAAAAATGGATATACGATCCAAACCGAGAAGCCATACGTCGAATTAATATTCAGCGAATCGTTTTCCCACGTTTCAATTAATTGAACACGATACACGAGTTACCGAGAAGTCATGCTAAACGATCAAATTTCCACATTTCATTTAGTTTTCACATGGTCCGGCTTCGTTTCGTTCAGCGAATACACGAAACGTACAGTATAATCGCTGTTGTTCTTTTTTTTCTTTTTTTACACGGCTGAACTGAACAATAATTAACGCACGTCCAGAATTTATATAAAGTCCCAAAATTGCAATGTCTCCTCAGCTTTAAGTTATTTAAGTATAACCCAGGCAAAAGCAAATAATAAATTTATGACTTTTCAATAATTTCTCATCAGTGATATCATACCAACGAGTTCGAAAGAGAAAGAAAGCGAACGAATTATTGTGTACGGCTTGGTCGCTCGTTACGGTCCGCAAAGTGGTTAATCTCTTGCGGAATGACGTGCACGTCGAGAATTTTTTGTTCCAAATTGCAACATTTCCTCAGTTTTAAATATTAATTTGATCGTTAGTTTAAAATTTAAATGTTAATAACTGTTAACTTAAAATTTAAATGTAACCTAGGCCAAATAAATGATAAGTTTACTTCTTAATAATTTCTATCCAGTGATATCGTATCGACGAGTTCGAAAGAAAAAGAAAACGACGAGTTATTGTATACGGTTTGGTCGCTCGTTATGGTCCGCAATCAGTTGCCGGCGCAAGGAGTTAACCTCTTGCACTAGAATGACGTGCCACGAACGTCGAGAACTTTTTGTTCCAAATTGCAACATTTTCTCAGTCTGAAATATTAATTTAATTATTAGTTATTTTGAAATTTAAATGTTGATAATTATTAATTTAAAATTTAAATGTAAGGGCGAAACAAATAATAAATTTATTACTTCTCGATAATTTCTATTTAATGATACCGACAAAGTTCAAAAAGAAAGCGACTAATTATTGTGTACGGTTTGGTCGCTCGTTATGGTCCGCAATCAGTTGCCGGCGCAAGGAGTTAATCTCTTGCACTAGAATGACGTGCCACGAACGTCGAGAACTTTTTGTTCCAAATTGCAACATTTCCTCAGTCTTAAATATTAATTTAATCATTAGTTTATTAATTTGAAATTTAAATGTTGATAATTATTAATTTAAAATTTAAATGTAACCCAGGGCAAAACAAATGATGAATTTATTACTTCTCAATAATTTCTATTTAATGATACCGACAAAGTTCAAAAAGAAAGCGATTAATTATTGTGTACGGTTTGGTCACTCGTTATGGTCCGCAATCAGTTGCCAGCGCAAGGAGTTAATCTCTTGCATTAGAATGACGTGCCACGAACGTCGAGAATTTTTTGTTCCAAATTGCAACATTTCCTCAGTCTTAAATTTTAATTTAATTATTAGTTTATTAATTTGAAATTTAAATGTTAATAATTATTAATTTAAAATTTAAATGTAACCCAGGGCAAAACAAATGATGAATTTATTACTTCTCAGTAATTTCTATCCAACGATATCGACGAAGTTCAAAAAGAAAGCGACTAATTATTGTGTACGGTTCGGTCGTCTCGTTATGGTCCGCAATCAGTTGCCAGCGCAAGTGGTTAAGTCGACGGCGATGCTTAATTAATAATGCGACCCGCGACTGTGCGCGAACGCGAGGGAAACGCTGATCTTTGCCAGTTTTCCGGTTGATTGCCCTTTAATAAATTTCGGAAATTCAATTCTGCGCGACAAGGAACCCGGCGGACGCTTTTTAATTTAATCTCTCGCGGCAAAAGGGGTTTGCTTGTTACCAGAGGCGGTTTTACGGTGATTCAGCAGATGTTTCTTTCTCGCGAGTCAAGGAATGGCATGAAGCTCGTTCTCATTTTCTTTCCACTCTCTTCCCTTTCCTGGGAAAGGGCTTGAACAACGATTTGGCGGTTTAATCGCGCGCCAACGGATGGAAATGTTTCAGGGGATCCTTTAAACGATCGTTCGGTGGGGAAACGATAGCGCGTCAAGGGTTCTTTGTTGGAAGGAACTTTGTTCGAAGTTTGACGTTTTCGCGAGAGGTTTTCAGATTGAAACGATTTAGAGAATATTACGAATGGAATCTGTTGCAGCAAGTGAAAGAGGCAGCAGATCGTTAGATTGTTAGATTAGAAATCAACAGATTGTAGAAATCTTACAGACTGAAAGACATCTTTAACATCAAGGGTAACGACACAAGCAATGTCGCTTTTCTTTCAAATTTAATACACATTGCCATCTGGTGACAATAATTTAACTTGTTATAACATGACTCACGTTCTAATTAAATATATCGACATTTAGTGTGCTTATTGTTAAATTATATTATAGATTATATTATAAATTATATAATAGATTAACTTTTGAATGAAATAAAATTTTGTACAGTGTTAGAAAAGTAACGTTACTTATGGGAAATCCTTTAGTACAAACGGAAATCTGTTATTGACGGAGTACGATGATCAAAGTGATACAGATATAGTCGTGTAATTATTTTCGACAGCGTGCAAATAGAAAAAGACAGAAAATGGAGCAAGAAAAGTTAAATGAGCCAAAACAAAAAAAAAGGCGAAAAAAAGCTAGCTAAGAAGCGAAGAAACACAGATAGAGTGAAGAAACTATACGTATAATAGGAAGCAATTACGTTCAATGAAAATGATAAGCGAAGAACAGGCTAGACGTATGAAAAGAACCAACAAACGTGACGTAGAAAACTGGCAGTGAAAAAATAATAGAAGATGAAAATAAAGATGAATAGCTGACACATTCTGTTCAGAGTCGTGCGGTATGTAAAATTTCCCGCCACCGAGACAGCGCTATGGTCGAAACTTAAACAGCTGAAACAGCGGCATTCGACGTGATTGTTAGCGTCGTACAGGGGGGTGGGGAGGGGGACGACATTGTTAAGAAGACAGACTTCTAGCTTTTCCAGTAATTTAACTTCCACAACTTGAGGAAAGTTCTCGCGTTGCGGAATCCTCGAAAGCAATGATAACTTTTCCTGCTCGGCCATCCACCGAGGAAGTTTGCGGTTAAAGAATATATAGAACTTTTCCGAACTGCAATCGACTGCGAAATGTGATCAGGACGCATAGTTTTAGTCATAAAAATGCCTACGATGTTTTGTCCCGAGTTTCGTCTCGAGCCTTCTTCTTTTTTCTCTTTTCTTTTTTTTTTATCGGGCATCGTACCTACATTCGTGTTATAAAATGAGGAAATTTAAATGCATATCTTGTCACGCACGGGACCGTACAGGAAGTTTCGAGAATTCATATTTCAAATCGCGATAGAACAGTTGGACTCGAGTTCGTTTGGTAGAAATAACAAGTGTTTCGTTTCATTTCGAGAGCGTGCACTTGCGTGGCTCGATAAGTTTTAAAACTGCGACGAAAGCAGAGTGAGCGCACTTGCTCTAGAATTGAAATAAAAGGGCAAGATTTTCTGCATATTTTTTTGTTATGAAATTATTATTATTATTAGTACTTCATATAATTACAATTGACAAATTGAACAATGTTCTTTGTTCAAACTTACCAACATGTCTTCAAACAAATTACGAATGTGTTCTTCGTTTACTTTAATAGCAAATATTTTTTTGCTACACGACGTCATTAAACAAAGAAAAAAAGCCATATTTTCGCGACGAGCATACGACGAGCATACGTGAGCATCGAGATGATAAACGATATAAAATAAAATGTTAGACACGAATCAAAGTTCTGGAAATTAGTGAAAATCCTGGATAGAACCTGAAACCTTGAAACGCCGAGGAGATCAGACACGGTGGTAGCTTCAAACTCCAGAAATCCAAGGCCTAGCCTCAAACTTCAGATCCCCCGATCAAAGATTCAAAACCCGAATCCACGATTCCTTATACCTTGCACACTTCCCTTCTACCAAGGAATTTAAAATTCGCTCCCGCTTCGTGCCACCTGCTTCAACGAGAGACCTCCTTTACATTCACCGATCCCAGCATTTATTCAAACGAAACTGGCTCGAGCGGAGCAACATCTCTCGCGGAAACATTCGACGGTGTCCCCTTCGCCTCGACCGCGAAAGCTCAAGGAGCAAGCGCAACCACCGAGCCGCAATTTTAGCATCTGAAACCAACCAGCAATCCGGAACACCTCGATCGTCGATTGCACGCGGCAACACAAACAAACGACAGAAACAATTCCTGTTGCTCGCGGATCGCTGTTCTCCCAGCAAAGCGCGACGCGACCCTTCTCGTCCATCCTCACATCGCCTGGTTTCCGGGAGTTTAAAGAGAGAGATACAAAGGACTCGGCAAGATGACGAGGGAATTATTCAACGGC